GTCTTTCAAGTAGAACAGTGGGATACTACTTGGTTTAAAATCAGGAAAGATGTGTGCCAGGGTTGTATTCTTTCATCACACATTCAGTCTGTGTGCTGAGCAAATACTCCAAAAATCTGGACTGTATGAAGGAGAACATGGCTTCAGAGTTGGACAAAGAATCATTTACAACCTACAATGTGTAGATGGCACAACCTTACTTGCTGAAAGCAAAGTGGACTTGAAGCACGGTTGAAAATCAAAGACTTCAGCCTTTAGTATGCATTACATCTCAATATAAAGAAAACAAAAGTCCTCACAACTAGATCAATAAGCAATATCATAATAAGTGGAGAAAAGATTGAAGTTGTCAAGGAATTTATTTTCTTTGGATCCACAATCAACACCCATGGAAGCAGCTGTCAAGAAATCAAATGATGTATTGCATAGGGCAAATCTGCTGTAAAAGACCTCCTTAAGGTATTGAAAAACAAAGATGCCTCTTTGAGGACTAAGTTGTACCTGACTCGAGCCATGTAATTTTTAGTCACCTCATGTGCTTACAAATACTGGACAGTGAATAAGGAAAAGCAAAGAAGAGTTGATCCCTTTGGATTATGGTGTTGAGTAAAGAATAGTGAATATACCATGGATTCCTAGAATAAATTAAAAAAATCTGTTTCACAAAAAGTATGACCAGAAAGTTCCTTGGAAACAAGGATGGCAAAACGTCATCTCATGTTCTTTGGACATGTTATTAGAAGAGAGCAGTCCCTGGACAAGGTTGTCATGCTTAGTAAAGGGGAGGGTCAGCAAACAAGAGGAAGACCCTCAGCAAGATGCATTGATACAGTGGCTGCAACAATGGACTCAAACATGGCAGTAGTTGTGAAGATGACACAGGACCAAGCGGTGTTTTGTTTTGTTGTACATAAGGTTGCTATAAATTAGAATTGATTAAACTGCACCTAATAATAACAACAACAACAAGTAATAAGGAAATAGGTTAAAAAATTCAATCATGTAAGAGTATATAAACTAAACCAAACTCACTGCCATTGAGTCAATTCTGACTCATAGTGACCCCCTTTGGGTTTCTGAGGTGGTAAGTTTTAAACTTCTTAAAATTACATAGGCAACTGAACAGGTCATAAAAAAAATTACTAACAAAAAAAGTCCTGGCCAGACGGTTTCACTGGAGAATTCTACCCCATCTTCAGAGAAGAACTAACAACAGTTCTATTAAAAACTATCCCAGAACATAGAAAAGGATGGAGTCCTCCCAGATTCATTTTATGAAACAAGCATAACCTTGATATCAAAACCAGACAAACACATCACTAAAAAGGAAAACTACAGACCAATATCCATGAATATAGACGCAAAAATCTGCAACAAAATCCTAGCCAGTAGACTCTAACAACATATCAAAAAAATAATAATACATTATGACCAAGTGGGTTCAAGTTTGCAAGGATAGTTCAACATTAGAAAAACAATCAACATCATATACTGCATAAATAAAACAAAGGAAAAGAACCACATGATCATATCAGTTGATAAAGGCATTTGATAAAATCCAACACCCATTCCTGATTAAAAGGAAAAAAATACACTCTGCAAAATAGGAAAGGAAGGGACATCCCTCAACAATAAAAGGCATGTATGCAAAACCAACAGCCAACATTCTTCTCAATGGAGAGAGACTGAAACCATTTCCCTTGTGAACAGGAACAAGGCAAGGATGCCCTCTACCACCACTTCTATTCAATATTGTATTGGAAGTCTAGCCAGGGCAATAAGTCAACAAAGGGAAATTAAAGGCATCCAAATTGGTAAGGAAGAAGTAAAACTATCCCTATTTGCTGATGATATGATCCCATACGTAGAAAACCCACAAGACTCGGCAAAAAAAATCTACTGGCGCTAATTGAGAGATTTAGCATAGTGGCAGGATACAAGATCAGCATCCAAATATCAAGTGGATTCCTCTACACTAGCAAAGAGATTGCTGACAAGGAAATATAGAAATCAGTCCCATTTAAAATAGCTACCAAAAAAAAAAAAAAAACCTTGGGAATAAATCTTACCAGGGACACAAAAGACCTATACAAATAAAATATACAACACTATTTGAGAAACTGTAAGCCAAACAGAAAACCAAACTCATTGCCATTGAGTCGGATCCAACTCATAACGACCACTCCTTGGGTTTCCAAGGCAGTATCACTACGGAAATAGACTGCCCAATCTTCCTTCCGCGGATTGGCTGGTGGGTTTGAACCACCAGCCTTCTGGTTAGCAGTCAAATGCCTTAGGCACTATGCCACCAGAGGTAGATCTACATAAATGAAAGGACATTGCATGCTCATAGATAGGAAGATTGAACATTGTGAAAATGTCACTACTGCCCAAAGCAATCTCTACATTCAGTGCAGTCCCAATCCAGATGCCATCAGCATTCTTTAAGGATATGGAAAAATCAATCACTAACTTTATATGGAAAAGAAAGAGACCTTGGATAAGCAAAATACTATTGAAGAAGAAGAACAAAGTAGGTCTCACACTGCCAGATCTCAAAACTTACTATACTACTATACAGCCACAGTAGTTAAAACTGCTTGATACTGGTACAATGACAGACACACAGACCAATGGAATAGAGTTGAGAAGCTAGAAATAGATCCACTGACCTATGGTCAGCTGATCTTTGACAAAAGACTGAAATCCATTAAATGGGGAAGAGATAGATGGTCTTTTTAGCAAATGGTGCTGGCAAAACTGGATATCCATTCACAGAAAAATGAAACAAGATCTGTACCTCACACCATACACAAAACTAACTCCAGATAGATCAAAGACTTAAATGTGAAACCTAACATTATAAAGTTTCTCAAGGAAAAACTAGGGGCCCTAACATATAGCATAGACTATCACGCATAACCCAAAATGCACAAACAGCAGAAGATGAACTAGATGAATGGACCTTATAAAAATTAAGTTTTTATGTGCTTCCAAAGACTTCTCCAAAAGAGTCAAAAGAGAACCTACAGACTGGGGGGAAAAATTTGTCGACAACATGTCTGACAAGGGACTTATCTCTAAAATTTATAGAAAACCTCAACACCTTAACAACAGAAAGACAAACATTCCAATTAAAAAGTGGGCAGAAGACATGAGTAGACACTTCACCAAAGAGGATATTCAAGCGGCCAGCAAACACATGACGAAATGTTCACGATCATTAGCCATTAGAGAGATGCAAATCAAAACGACAATGAGATACCATCTTGCCCAGCACTAATAGCATAGTTTAACAAGATAGAATAACAAATGCTGATGAGGATGTGAAGAGATGGGGACTCTCATACACTGCTGGTGGGACTGTAAAATGATACAACCGCTGTGGAAAGCAGTGTGGCGATTCTCTAAAAAGTTGGAGTTAGAAATACCAGTTGACTCAGCAATTCCATTACTAGGTTATATATCCTAAAGAAATGAGAGCCAGGACAAGAACAGATATATGCACACCCATATATATCCCACACCCATGTGGGAGCTCTGGTAGCATAGTACCTAAGGCACTGGACTGCTAACCAGAAGGCTGGTGGTTCAAACCCACCAGCCACTCCTCAGAAGGAAGGTTGGGCAATCTACTTTCATGGTGATACCACCTCAGGTCCAACTCCAGGGCACATAACAACATGTTCATTGCAGTACTATTTACAATAACAAAAAGATGGAAATTATCTAGGTGTCCATCAACAGAAGAATGGATAATCAAAGTATGGTACATACACACAATGGAATACTATGCAACTTAATAATATAGAATCTGCAAAACACTGTAATGTGGATGAACTTGGAGGATATTATGCTGAGTGAAATAAGTCAATCACAGAAGGACAAATATTGTATTAGTCCATTATTGTGAAGAGTCAAGGAAAAGGTTTATATATGAAAGGAAATTTATTTATTTTTTTATTTTTTGGTTACTAGGGATGGGAGGGGTG